TTCGTTCACCATGTAAGAACTTGTTCGTTATGCTTCAGAAGATTGGAGACTGACGAGAATTAGGCTTGAGATGGATTAATGATTGTACATTGAGCGTTGACCCCCCTATACTGAATTTTATTGTTGTTAACAACCATTTGATCAATAAATATGAGAGATGCCCTCTCAAAAAAAAAAAAAAAATGGGCATAGAGGGTATGTACCTCAAAATAATAAAGGCCATATGCCAAGCCTAGGGCTAGCAGCATACTTAATAGTGAAAAGCTGAAAGATTTTCCCTCTAAGATCAGGAGAAAGACAAGGATGTCCACTCACACCACTTTTATTCACCATAGTACTGGAGGTCCTAGCCATGGCAATCACACCACACAGGAGATAAAAGGCAACCAAAATGGTAAGGAAGAAGTTAAGCTGTCACTATTTGCAGATGACATGATATTATACATAGAAAACTAAAAAGACTCCAACAAAAAACTATTAGAACTAATAACTGGATTCAGCAAAGTTGCAGGATACAAAATCAATACACAGAAATCTTTGCATTCCTGTATAGCAGAAAGAGAAATCATGAAAGCAATTGCATCAAAAAGAATAAAATACCTAGGAATAAACTTAACCAAGGAGATGAAAGACCTATACCCTGAAAACTATAAGACACTCATGACAAAAATTAAAGACACTAATAAATGGAAATCTATCCCATGCTCATGGATAGGATGAATTAAAATTGTCAAAATGTTTATCCTGCCCAAAGAAATTTACATATTCAATGCAATCCCTATCAAAATTCCAGCAGCATTTTTCAATGAAGTAGAACAAATAGTTATAAAATTCATATGGAACCACAAAAGACCTCAAATAGCCAACGCAATCCTGAGAAAGAAAAACAAAGATGGGGGGATTATGCTCCTTGCCTTCAAGCTCTACTATAAAGCTATAGTGATCAAAATAGTATGGTACTGGTCCACAGATCAATTAAACAGAATAGAGAGCTCAGATATAAACCCACGCATATATGGTCAATTAATATACAATAAAGGAGCAACTAATATACAATGGGGAAAACATAGCCTCTTCAATAACTAGTCATGGGAAAACTGGACAGCTACATGTGAGAGAATGAAACTGGAATACTGTGTAACTCCATAAACAAAAGTAAACTCAAAATGGATGTAAGACCTGAATGTAAGACATGAAACCATAAAACTCTTAGAATAAAACATATGCAAAAATCTCTTGAACATAAATAGGAGCAATTTTTTCCTGGACACATCTTCTCAGGCAAGGGAAACAAAAAAAAATCAACAAGTGGGACTACATCAAACTAAAAAGCTTCTGAATAGCAAGGGACACCATCAGCAGAACAAAAAGGCAACATACAGTATGGGATAATGTATCTGTAAATGATTTATGTAACAAGGGGTTAATCCAAAATATATAAAGGACTCATACACCTCAACACCAAAGAAACAACCTGATTAAAAAATTGGTGGAGGAGGATCTAAACAGACATTTCTCCAAAGGAGAAATACAGATGGCCAACAGACATATAAAAAGTTGCTCCACATCACTAATCATCAGGGAAATGCAAATCAAAACCACAATGAGATATCACCTCACACCAGTCAGAATGGTCACTACCCAAAAGGCAAGAAAGCAACAAATGTTGGCGAGGATGTAGAGAAAAAGGAACCCTCCTGCACTGTTGGTGGGAATGTATATTGGTGCAGTCACTGTGGAAAGCAGTATGGAAATTTCCCAAAAAACTAAAAACAGAAATACCATTCAATCCAGTAATTACACTTGTAGGAATTTACCTGAAGAAAACAAAATCCCTGATTCGAAAAGATACATGCACCCCTGTTTATTGCTGCATTATTTACAATAGCCAAGATATGGAAGCAACCTAAGTGTCCATCAGTAAAAGAAGATGTGGTACATATACACAGTGAAATATTATTCTGCCATAAATGAAAAGAAATCCTGCCATTTGCAACAGTATGGATGGACCTAGAGGGTATTATACTAAATAATAAGCCAGGCTGAAAAAGACAAATACCACCTGACTTCATTTATTTGTGGAATTTAAGAACAAAGCAAAACAGAAGGAACAAAAGAGCAGTAGACTCACAGACACTGAGAAGGGACTAGTGGTTACTGAGGGGGAGGGTTTTAGGGGAGTGTGGGATGGGGAGGGTGATAAAGGGGCACAATAATTCACAATCACAATGCATGTTGGTCATAGGGACGTAGTACAGCATGGAGAATACAATTAATGGTTCTGTAACATATTTCTATGCTGATAAATACTAACCACACTAGAAGGGGTAACAATTTAATAATATGGGCAACTTTTGAACCAATGTGTTGTACTTTTTTTTTTTTTTTTAAGAGAGCAGAATGGTGGTTGCAGGGGACTGGGGGCTGGGAGAGGTGGAGAGATGTTGGTCAAAAGGTACAAACTTCCACTTATAAGACGAATAAGTTCTGGGCAATCTACTGTACTGCATGATGACTACAGTTAACTACACTGTACTGTGTACTTGAAAGTTGATAAGGTACATTTGAAACCAATATAAGATTGTGTATCAATGTACTTTAATAGAAAAGAAAAGAAAGGAATGGGAATACTAGTTTGGGGGCAGGGAGTCCTTACCAAATAAGGAAGAAAATGTTTTTTGTATCATCATTTAAAGAGTGAAAAACTTTGAATGACTTAAATATCATACAGAGATATATAGATATAGATGTGACCACAAGAATGAGACAACATATCAGTGTTAAAATATACCATTTATGTTTAAAACACCTTAAGTGTGCTTATATATATTAAGGACAACAGACCTTTTATTACAATATATAATTTCATTTTTATTTTTTTGTAAAGTTACAGTATTTTATTTTATTAGGAAGGTACAATAATACGTGCTCCATATAAAATGAAACAGATATACAATTAAGTATATTCAGAATTTCCAATCTGCCACCAACATGGGGTACATCAAGATTTAATATAAAGCTACAGTGATCAAAACAGTGCCATACTCATGAAAGAATAGACAAAAAGATCAATGGAACACAAGGGAGTCTAAAAATAGGCCTATACAAATATAACCAACTGATCTTTCACAAAACAAAGACAGCTCAATGGAGAAAAGACAGTTTTTTCAAAAAATGGTGCCAGAATAAATGGACATGGAAAAAAAGTTAATACAGACACAGACTTTATACCTTTCACAAAAAATATATCAAAATGGATCACTGACTTAAGTGTAAAATGCAAAACTATACAACTTCTAAAGAAGAACAGGAAAGCTTAGGTGATCTTGGTTTGGTGATGATTTCTTAGATACGACACCAAAAGCACAATTCATGAAAGAAAAAACTGACAAGTTGGATTTCATAAAAGTAAAACACTCCTGCTCTGTGAAGAGGACTGCTAGAATTAAAAGACAAACCACAGACTGGGAGAAAATATTTGTAAAACATATCTGACAAATGACTTATATCCAAAATATACCAAGAACTCTTAAAACTCAGTAAGAAAACAACTCAAGCAAAACATGGGCAAAAAATATGAACATATCTCAACAAACAAGCTATACAGATTGCAAATAAGAATATGAAAAAAGGCTCATCATGGTATGTCATTAGGTAATTGTACATTTATACAACAAATGTGATACCACTACAATCTACCAAAATGGCTAAAATCCAACACATTAACACCACCAAATACTGGCAAGAATGTGGAGCAATAGGAACTCTGCAAAATTCTACAGCTACTTGGGAATACAGTCTTGCATTTTCTTCCAAAGTTAAACATAGGCTTACCATACAATGTAGCCATCACTTCCCTAGGTATGTAACCAAATGAGTGACCACTTACTTCCACACAAATAACAGCAAACAAATGTTTATAGCACCTTTATTCATAATGTCAAAACTTGGAAGCAACTAAGATATGTTAAACACTTTGGTCAGCTCCCATTTTAAGTGTACATACATTTCTAAACAATAATTAGAAAATTAAAATAGCCATTTAGACAAATTTTTCTGTTAAACTTACAACATGCATAAACATCCCAAACATTTCAATCAAATAATAATGCATCAGTTGGACTAGGTTTAGTTGAAAACAATATAAACCCCACATTTTTTTCTCTTACATACAAGTCCAGAGGTAGATAGTTTAGGGCCCATATGGTGACTCTGATCCTTAATGTCCTTACCCAATAAGGCTCCTTGCTGTTCACCACTCACTCAGCTATCCCCAGAGTGTGGCCCATATCCTCACAGTTCAATATGGCAGCTGGAGCTCCAGCCATCACATCTACATTCCAGTCAGCAAAATGGAGGAAAGAGCAAAAGGTATCTGCCTTTTAAGGAAAGTTAGCAGCTACCAAGTGATACATCATTTTGGCCAGGACTTAGACACATGGACACATCTAGGATTCCCAGGGAGAAGGGGATTAAGGGGCATTATGATTAGCACACAAAATGTAGGTGGGTCACAGGGAAGGCAATATAACACACAGAAGACTAGTGACTCTATAGCATCTTACTATGCTGATGGGACAGTGACTGCAATGGGGTGTGGGAGGGAACTTGATAACGTGGGTGAATGTTGTAACCACAATATTGCTCATGTAAAACCTTCATAAGATTGTATATCAATGATACCTTAATAAATATCTATATATATCTATATATATCTATATACTCAATAAAAAAGAGTTAAGAAAGGCATTGAGTAATCAAATGCTAGTACACAAAAGTGCCAAAGAAGGAGCCATAGCCTCCACTGTTAAAGTGAGAAAAATAACTTACATGAGAACTAACTAAATGACCAAGAGCCTTTTTGGGCTCTGCACACTCTAACCAGGGCCATCGGCTGGCTTACCCCTCAGCACTGCTCACATTCTCTCCACTCCAGCTAAAAGTTACACTCAAGGTTTCTAAAACATGCCTTGCATTTCCCCCACCTGTCCCTTCATTTGATTTGTTTCCTCTCCTGCAACATACTCTCTTCTCCATCTCAACTTGCCAAAATCCTACCAATTTTACAAGGTTTGGGTCAACCTTTCCAAAATAACTCCACTGTAGTGTGGAATAACAGTAACAGTGGTGTTGACATGGCATCACCAAAGCAGTCATTAAAAAAGTCTTTCATTCAGTATGATTACAAAGCGTCTCTCATTTCATCCTCAGAACAATTCTGTGAAGTAGGCAAGGGAAGGCAAGGGCTTATTCCTCCCATTTTTTTCAGCCTGAGCCTGGAATCACAATCCCCCCTTACTTGACCCTATACCCCTTGCCAGTGAGCAAAACACACAAGCAAACACTCAGTACTTTTCTCTTTGGGACCTGGGTTTGGACCGATGGTTGGTATTAATGAAAATCATGTAATCCAAAAACAAAAAAGAAAAGTGACAAACACAGCAGAGTAAAATTTGGTAAATGATTGTTCAAAGAGGTAAGGGGAAGGGAGAGAAGGAAAGAAAAGTTGCTGACTTGCCAAGCTCAGTATTTTCACCATGCCAGCAGATGGGTAAGGCAAGGTATGTGGCTATGTTGCCTCTGCAGGGAGAGGATGCGGCTGGAAAGGCAGGATAATGATTCTCAGAGACAGAGGAGTAGGATGCCTTCCCTGGAATGCACACTATACATTTTCAGTGTTTATTCTAATTTCTAAAGAACACCAGATGACAGCCTGGTTAACATTCTACACCTGGTATGACTACTGATTTTCTCTGAGATATGGGAACAAAGTCACTTGAAAGCTGTGTGCCTTAGTTTCTTCAATCACAAGATGTGTGTTCTCATTTTTTTGGCATACATTATGGTCAACCACCCACAAGAACAGTCCACATCTCATTTTTCCTTTTGGAGACCACATGCCTCAGACGAGCTGAACCCCTCCCCAGTCCAGGGCACTGAATCTGGGCTGGCATAAACTCCTATCCACTCTACTCACGATTGGTTTAAGAATGGACATATTCCATTCTAGCCAATGAGCAGTGAGAGAAGGAAACACTTGGGGAGGAGGGCTTCTGGGGAAATTTTCCTTTTATCTTAAGAAGGGACACAAGGAAGAGATATTTTCTCTTCTATTGTATGGTCTTCATACTTGGGCTTGTGTCTATGTTGAGACCATTACATGACAAGTCTGGAAATGAAAGCAAACGCTGATACTACAAAGAGGAAAGGTGGAAAGCATCAAGTCCTTCACGGCATCATTGAGCCAATGAATTAATAACAAAGCCAGCAACTACCCTCCCAGCTCTGGACCTGCTGCTTAATGAGAGCAAACAAACAAACAAAACATTGGTCTTTTTATTGCGAGTAGGGTCTTCTGTTACTTGCATCTAAAACATTTTGAATTTCAGATTAAGACTTAGTGTCTTCCAATATTGTATCAATAGTTAATCATCTAGAGCCAAGAAGGCACACATTAATGTAAAGGACTTTCAAACTTCAGTGCTCAGTATAATACAAGATACATTACTACTTTTTATTGCTAAATATAAATAGAAATTAGACTATATATACCAAGCATACATAGGAGAAACTAGGTCACAAAAAAATCAAAACATATCTGATGGCCAAAGTCAATCATGTTAGCACTTTGTAGGTTTGAAGCAAAGGATAATGTCTAACTATAAAAACAGCTCATCCAGTTGGATGAGGGACTCAGGTAGATTACCTCAGAAGACACACTAAGTCTTAAATCTCAATCCCTGAATCACCAACTATCTACTCTTGCCATAACTTTAGAGAATTTGAAAGGAAAACATGAAAAAGCATAGGAATATAAATAAAGTCAATTAGGAAAAAATGCTCTGGGGAGGGGATGTGGGGGAATGGGCAAAATAGGCAAAGGGACACAAAATGCTATCTTGATCTGAGTGGTTGGTTGTGTGAGTCCATATACATATCAAGCTGTGCAATAAGATTTGTGCATTTTATCTTATGTAACTCAATAAAAAAATAAAAATAAGAATAAACAGTGATAGCCCTATCAAAAAAAGAAAAAAGGAGGGGCTAAATATACCATACAAATACTTTTCACAACTAAGTATGCTGATTACCAGTTTCATAAACATTCTAATATTGTTTGTTTTTTAATGTGTTAAAACATTTAAGAAAATCTAATAATATAATGTTAAATTTGTGGCTTTAGTTGAATAGAAGACAAATGCTGTATGATGGAAACTAAATTTACCATCGATATTTACATACAGAAATTAAATTTAATAAGTATATCAAGTTTTTATTTGTAATTATCTGTTTAACTCATTTAGATTTAGTATTTTTTTCAAATCTTTCCTTTCCAATTTTATTGAGGAATAATTGGCATATGTCACTGTGTAAGTTTAAGGCATACAACATGATGGTCTGATCTACATATACTGTGAAATGATTAATTATCACAATAGGTTCAGTTAACATCTATCTTATACAGATGCAATAAGAAGAAAAAAATTAAGGAATAAAAATGTTCTTACAATGAGAACTCTTAGGATTTACTCTAACAACACTCCTAGACATCATACAGCAGTGTTAGCTATAGTGTTGGTCATGGTGTTGTATGTTACATCCCTAGTACTTATGTATCTTGGAACTGTAAGTTTGTACCGTTTGACCACCTTCCCCAATCCCTCCTCTCTCCACCCTCTGCCTCAGAGAACCAGAAGTCTAATCATAGAAAACCTTTTTCTATGAGCTCAGTTTTTTTTTTTTCAGATTTCACAGAAAAGTGAGTTCATACAGCATTTGTCTTCCTCTGACTTAACCACTTAACATAATGCCTGTAATTATTCACTTTACAAATATGTTATCTTAATAATACATAAAAATATACATAAAACTGAATACTATGCTTTTTACATTTACAATCTTTTTTGTGAACCAAAGAAAATTTTATACGTGACATTTGGAGGCAAGTTACTTGCAAGAGTGGCGGTGATCCAATCCCAAAAGTACAAGGAATGTGCTATTATAGCACATGATAAGAAACAATAAATGGGAAATCCCTGCTGTCCGGTCTGGGTGGAACATAGAAGGATGCCACAGCTGCCAGGTCATGAAGATTTCTCTCAGTTTCCCTCTGTAATAATTAACATGAGGTTCTGGTTCATGAAGCCAAGCATATACCTTATTCCTGCGGGAGCCCCTCAGCAATGTTAAATTAAAGGACACTCTTAGGAGTCCATAATCATTAAAAAAAGGATAGCAAAATAACTTTTAAAGTAGAAATAACTTCATATGAAAAGTCAGAAAACTATTTCTTTTGTGTTTTCTAGCCTTTGTTGAGTGATTGTACCATAACATAGACAACTTAAACATTTAAAAATGTAAATAAATAGATTAAAAAGAAATCTTGGATAGCATAAACAATGATCTCTTTTTAGGTCATGTCATCAAATACAGGAAATGAAGGTATAGCTGGGCAGCTGTAAAATGCCACATGAATCCTAGATGGACAAGCAACCTCAAATCATAGAGCCATTGTTGCAGATTGAATGTTTTTGTTCCCCACCAAGTTCACAGGATGAAATCCTAACCTGCCATGTGATGATGTTAGGAGCTGGGGCCTTTGGGAGGTGAATAGGCCATAAGGGTGAACCCCTCGTGAACAGGATTAGTGCCCTCATAAGAAGAAATAGACAGCTCGAGTCCTCTCTCTCTGCTCTTCACCACGTGAGGACACAATGAAAAGATGGCCATCAGAGTGCGTCCTCGCCAGACACCAGGTCTGCCGGCATCTTGAGCTTAGACTCCCCAGTCTCCAGAACTGTGAGAAATAAATGTTTGTTTAAGCCATCCAGTCTAAGGTACTTTGTTATAGTATCCCAAACAGACTATGACAGCCACTCTGCCTTACATCCAGATCTTGTGTACAGAAAAAAATTTGCAAGGCAATACCCAGAGTTTTAGTTAATTATGACTATTTCTAGCAGCTAAAATTATAAGTGTTTTTTTATGTTCTGGTATCATTGTTTCATATTTTGATTTTACTTTTCCACATGGAGTCTGGATACCCATAGGCTAACTTAGCGAATGCAAACACTCTAAATGCTTCTCTCTGTGGCTCTGGTTTACTGGAATGTTACAATGCAAGGCAACATAATCCTGAGATGCCCAATTCAGCTATTACTTCATTCTTAAAGTTGGCAAGCTAGTTTAGCAACAGCAGCTAGTATCTTCACCTCAGAAGCTATAGTCAAAGCACGAATGACTACAGAGTGATTTTGCCACAGGCCAGGACGTCCCCCCACAGACACACTCCCTTGAAATTTTCTCTCTTGCTAGTGATGGAGACTCAAGGCTAACAAGAGTTTGGCTTTTTACTTGCAAGAGAGGATAAGTTTCTTTCTCAGAGTGTGCTGTAGGGAGATGGAGTACCTCTCCTTAGCAGACACTCTGCTGTTCCAATCATACATGCTGTTGTTGAGTTCAGTGTGGAGTTCTAGGAGTGGGCGTCTTCTGGAGGGAACAAGAAAATCAAAAATTAATGCCAAGCAAATATCAGGGGAGAAAGACGGTCATTAGGGTGAAATGAGCCAATAGATGTACAAGTACTTTGAACTGTTCCTTCCTCACTACTCTGCCAGCTGCTCGGCGAGTGACCCAGACCACCCTGCAGCACTGTGGCCCAGTGACCACAGCCCCTCCCTCAAGGGGAAAGGGGCTTCACCCTGAGGATGCACCAGACAGACGATAACTGACTTGGATAGTCTAGGCAAATGCAGGGTGGATATAAAAGGCCAGTAAATCACTGGCCTAGGGAATGTCTAGCCTGGAAGGCTGAGTTGCTCTGCGCAGCCCTCCCCTTACTGCTAAGCCACCTTGGAGGGGGGTATGGGTCACAGGCCAAGTGTTTACTCCTGGGGTACCCAGAGCCACAACGTAATGCCTTTCACAGGTGGCTTAGAAACATTGTTCTCAACTATAATTAGGGGGCAACTGAAAAAGGACTGCTAATCTTACACTTGAGGTACAGTGTGGCTTCATTCAGCTTAAATGAAAACCAGGTCAGCAAAGTTTCCCTTAGAAAAGTATTCATACCAATAAACATCAAAAATATCTGTAGAACAAAGACTTGTAGATCTGAAGAGTCAGGTACCATTCTTCAAGACTTGTCAGTGTTGGTGGAAATTTGGGGACACAGGTGCTCTTACAGAGTCAGTATAACTGTCCTAGAGGACATTCTGATAAGATGCATCAAAGGCTTTAAAAATGCATGTTGTTTAATCCTACCATTTGCAACAACATGGACGGAGCTGGAGGACATTGTGCTCAGTGAAATAAGCCAGGCGGAGAAAGACAAATGCCAAATGATTTCCCTCATTTGTGGAATATAACAATGAAGCAAAACTGAAGGAACAAAATAGCAGACTCAGAGACTCCAAGAATGAACTAGTGGTTACCAAAGGGGAGGGGTGTGGGGAGGGAGGGAGAACGGGATTGAGGGGTATTATGTTTAGTACACATGGTGTGGGGTATCACTGTAGCACAGAGAAGGTACACAGTGATCTGTGGCATCTTACTACACTGAAGGACAGTGACTACATTAGGGTATGGGTGGAGACTTGATAATATGGGTAAATGTAGTAACCACATTGTTTTTTCATGTGAAACCTTCATAAGAGTGTGTATCAATCATACCTTAATAAAAAAATGCATGTTGTTTGACACATTAATTCCACTTCTGGGAATTTTCCTTAAGAATGCAATTAAGGATAAGCACAAATGCTGAGCTACAAAGACATTGAATGCTTTCTTTGTGAAAGAAAAGCACTGTCCAATGACTGATGATTAGTCAAGTAAATTATGTGATAGCCATATTATGGGCCATTCTGCAGACTTTAAAATGCTGTTGCAGAAATGTGACTGCTGACATGTGCAAATGTATGTAATATATTGTTACACTAACTAGAAGCAGGGTATAAATTAACAGTAGATGATTCTATTTCAGCTTGAGAAACATTTATATATGATTGTAAAAAGATTTGGGAGGTAAACACCAAGATTTGGTTAACAGAGTTTGGCTCTAATAATAAGTAGATTATAACTGCTTGTTATGTTCTGCTTTTAACATCTATAGTTCATAGTTTTTTTTTTCTAATAAGGAAGCACATCTTGCTTTTGAAATTTAAAAAAAATTAAAAATGCATTTATCCTGAAGAGGAATATCCAAACAACAAGCAGACTAATAAGTGACCTCCTGGTGCACAAAGCATTCATAAGCTGTGCAGGGTCTATATCATACTCTTAAGGCAACACCCGTGGGTGGTGAAAAATCAAATCCCCTTTCCTCCCTGAATAGAAGAGTATCAAACATGCACAGTGGCAATCTCCAGCTCGGTGGCCTGGAAATAAACAAGTGGTCCAGGGATTGGCCACAACCCAGGTGGTTTACCTTTCTTTCCTCAATTTCTGGGAGAGGCACTGCAGGTACAGTGATGGTGAGCTGGCCGGCCGCTCCAACAGGGACACGTCTGCTTTGCACAGGCTCCAGAGGAAGTCAGCTTCTCGGTGAATTGTGCAGGGTCCTGGCTGCCTGGCCTTGGGTTCCAGATCGTTTGCTGCTGGTCCATCTACCTCCAGGAGGTCCTCCAGCTGGTCCTCTGCCACCACATAGTTCTGAATAAAAAAGAGCTTTGGCTTCCCCAAGAGAGAAGGGCATGCATCTCCCATGAACATCCTCCTGATCTGATCCAAAGGGAAACCTGCATGAGTCTGATCCACGCCAAACATACTCTGGGAGTCCCCTCGGCTCACCAGGACACACACAAAGCTGTCGCAGTCTCGGTGTTGGGGCATACAGACAATTTGGTGAAGAACGTGGACTATACTGTTCATACTTGGATACAAGAAGTACTTGACTTCATAGTCCAGGGAAGTGAAAGTATCCTGAAGAGCCCCTGGAAAAGACAAACACGGAAAACAACAGCGGGTGAGAAAAGCTCAAGGCCCTGGGTAGCAATCCTAACCATGGGCTGATCTCTGTGACTTACTCTGGAGTCATATTTTGATGTTTTCAAGGAGCTAAGAGCAGGGCAGGAGAAACAGAAATCTGCTTGAAATGTAAATGTGAGGCTTTCATGTCCCAGATGCTCAGCTCTGGTCTGTCCATTACATCATTTCCCCTGCCTGAGGCCACCTCCACATCTGGCCACAGGCGCAGACTGAGGCCACTTCCAGTCCTATCCAACCAAGGGATGAACAAAGCTGCTTCTTTTCAAGCGAAACAAGGCTGGGATTTTTCAAAAGGCTCTTTCATAAAATAACACACAAGTGTAGAAGAATGGGCGCCTTTTCCAGGCTGCAGATCCAAACCTAGATGCAAATGGCTGCCAGAAGGGTGGCACGGGCCATGAATGCCCTGACCTCCACCCACTGTGGGCTGACCTGGGGGCCCCTAGGACTAACACGCGACCATTTCCAGACTTCCTGGTTCCCTCATGACCTGCTTCCCTGTGTACCACGGAATGAGCAGTGGGACCCCCTGGCTAAGACTCCCTACAGTGCCCCCAAAGACTCTTCTAGTTTCCAGAAATCCTGGATTGACTTAGTCTACAGAAGCAATCCAAGGCTGTAGGAAAAGCAGGCTTTGTTTACAAGTCTGTCTTCTAACACTGACTTTCCCACACTTATGGGCTATAGGACATTAAGGAAAAAGGTCTCCCTCGCTTTAAATGGAAGCAATGGTACCCACCCTATGAGAATGCTGTGAAGATTAAATGAGGTGATATAAACATCTCCTGGTACTCAACAAAAGTTAGTTCCTATTCCCCCTTTTAAAATCTTTTTGTCCATCTTCTAGAAGTTTCTATGGCCTTGGAACCCAAGAATTACTACCCAGTCACTTCTTTCTTATCTCCTCAGCTTGCCTTCGCTGGGGAAATAAATATAGCTTCCTGAAATGTTACATCTTTTTAATAGCAAAGAGAGACCCTCTTTCTTCTCCTCACTCAAAAATTCTCCTTCCTTTTGGGCCACCCACTAAGTTTCTGTTCTTTGTCTGAGGGATGCCTCCAGTTCATCTGAGGGGCAAAAAAACCGGTCTGTCCTAAGCCCAGAGGCTAAATAAGAATCTTCTAAATCAGGTTGGCACCCAAACTTCTCTGGATTTGTTTCCATGTTTTCTGACTATGTACCTACCCCTCTTCCTCCCTTGGGGTGTGTTCTTCCTTAAGTCTACCACTGCATTCATACCAAACCAAACAACATAAGAGTAATTAGAACAGATATAACTTCCACCGAGGAACAAGAGGGCCCATCTCAGACCAGTTTAGACATCACAGAAAGGGCTCAAAAGGAGATAGATAAATGAAGGTACTGTAAAACTGCTTACTGCAAATTCTCATTCAATGGGAAAAACATGAAGTCTGGATAGTCAGAAATAATTCACAGACTCACAGCTTCAATGAGTCGTTGCAACCTTCTGCCCTGCAAACTCATCAACTTATGAATCAGCTATAAAAGTGAAAGTAAATAATCAACAATTTCTCTTCTGGCTTCTCAGCAAGAAGTAGGAAAAAATAAAAGGTAAGAAAGGAAAAATAGCCTTAAGTAAACAAAAAGATATTTAACCAGCCACTGGATAAATAAGGGCTGGCCTGATGCTCTTAATTTAATTCACCAGCCTATAAGCAGTATGTCTGGACACATTTACACATTACAAAGTCTAATAGAACTTTCCTCTCAGGAGACCTGGGTTCAACTGTGGCCCCACATCCTACCATTTATGGCTGTTTTAAATATGTCCACCAAGTCTTTGACAATTCTCCCTTTAAATTAGAGTGTAATTCCCCTGCCCTTGAATGTGGACCATACTAGGTAACTCATTTCTAGTGAATGGAATGTGGCAGAAAAGATAGTATGTGACTTCCAAAGCTAGATCACAAAAAGGGTACAGCTTCCGCCTGGGTCTTTCACCTTTAAACAGCTCACCTTGGGGGAAGTCAGCTGTCACACGGTGATAGCACTCAAGCAGTTCTGCGGAGAGGCCCACATTGGTGAAGGAGCAAGGCCTCTCACCAACTTCCCGGCCACATGAGTGGGCCACCTAAGAAGACCCCCAGCCCCAGTCAAGCCTTCAGATGACCCCAGCTGACATCTGGGGTCCCCAGCTCCCAAGATAATCTGGGCCAGAAGAGCTGAGCTAAGCCACTCCTAAACTTCTGTGCCACAGACTGTGAGAGATATAAGTAAGTTAATATTGTTGTTTTAAGCCATGATAGTTTGGAGTGATTTACACACAGTATCAGATAAATAATTTACCAGGTTAGTCAGGAAAAAAGAATTAAACCATCTGTAAGAATGTAGGTAGGCTATTAAACTACTGACTTTTCTCCTTTGCCTGACCTACCTAATAATGAAGAAATATAAAGAGAGTTCCAATTTCCTTAAAAGCTTATGATAAACAGGTATTATCAAGAAAATCAGGGACATGGTACACAGGTTGCTGATACGCCGTGTACTCACTTGTCCTTACAGGATCTCAGCAAGGTAGAAAAGGCCGAGCATCACTACACCACAGGTGTCGCCTCTGAGGGTGAAGCTTCTATACCCAGTACAGTGCGCAGCACAAGACTGAACCATGAGAGAACCTGAACTTGGACCTCTGTTCCAGCCCTGCAGGCAGATCTCGGATACATTGCAGGTTCAGCCCCAGACCACTGCACTAAAACGAATACTGCAGTAAAGCAAGTCAAATAAACTTTTCAGCTTCCCAGTGCACATAAAAGTTTTGTTTACACTATGCTGTAGTTCATGAAGTGTGCGGTAGTATTATGTCCAAAAAAAAATGTACATGCCTTAATTAAAAAATATTTTATTGCTAAAAAATGCTGACCATCACCTGAGCTTTCAGCAAGTCCTAATAACAGATCACAGATCACCATAACAAATGTAGTAATAATGAAAACATTTGAAATATTGCAAGAATTACTAAAATGTAACAGAGACACAAAGTGATCAAATGCTGTTGGAAAAACGGCGCCAACAGACTTGCTTGATGCAGGGTTGTCAAAACCTTCAATCTGTAAGAAACACAATATCTGTGATGCACAAGAAAGAAAGCAAAGATCAATGAAACAGGTATGCCTGTACTATTTTATTCCAACTCTTCCTTTCAGTATTCACACATCTCTAATTACGGAGTATTCTGTCCTCTAGAGGGCAGAAGAAAACAGGGGATATACCAGACTCAAAGCTCTTGTTTACTTGTTATCTTGGACTGGGCTCACTTCCCTCAAAGCCCTCTCTTCACTGATAAATTTCTTCCCTTATCAAAATTCTTGGAAGAAAGCCACATATCCCTGTCTACTGATATGCAAGGGTTGCAGACAGAACAAACGCCGTCCTGTACCTTGGATCACTTTCCTTTATCTGAGCTCCCTGTAGGCTCCCCCTGGTGCAACTACCGTTACAGAGCCCGGTCACACGGCAGTGAGCAGGGAGCCGCATGCACGCCCAAAGAGAAACCAGTCTTGGAATCACAAGATCTGGGCTTCCGTCTTGACCCCTGCACTTACTTGTTGGGTTTGAACCCTGCCTGGTCCTTAAAGAGGACCTTAGCCAGCAGACAGGCTAATTAAGAAAGCAACGGGAATCTGAGGTTGAGGGCAGGGAGTCCTTTTCTGATAGAACAGGAGAAAAAAGGCTGAAGTTGGGGATGAAGCCAAAAACAAAACAGGTTCCCAATGCCAAAAATAAGACCAGTAAGAACACCAAATCTGAATGGGCTTCAGGCCAAAATGGGGCACCCCTTCAATATTCCTCTGGCAACACACTCACTCAACAACAGCCTGAAGTCATCGCCACTGACATTTCCCATTAATACCACATCTTCCCCCTATCAGATGGGGACAACTGATGCTAGCTGGCATTTGCATCTTTCTTTTATGGGGCAGCAAGAACATGGATATAGGCCAGTCTAACTCATGGGCTCATGGTTGTGGTAAGAGTGTGACCTTGAACAAGTTTCAGACCTAGTTTACTCATCTATAGAATGGGATTAATACTAATGCCTACACCATGTTCTTCGGAAGGTAGCTGTGAGATCTCTGTAAAGATGCCTTGCAAAGTATGAATGCTTATTTGAAGATAAGGTATTAGTTTTAAAGAAAATAAAGGTACTTCACAAATCATGGAGCCTGCAGTACCTCTCTCTCATGGAATCTACCCTCCTTAGAACCCAGAGGGAGGGCTATATATGGGAACTAAAATGGGCTCAAGGCCCACATATCACATAACTGCCTTTTCCTCCCACACAAATAGGAGAAGAAAAAACTTGGGTGCTGAGTTTGGAAAATAAAACCCACGAACTGTTTAAGTCCCACTTCTCCTTCCACCCACCCTGGAAATTCCACTCCTAAACCAGCCCTACCTCTGTAAACTTCAACTATTCTTTAGAAATCAACTTCCTTAAAAATGATCAGGGGTTTTGTCTGGCCTTGCAGTTAGTATGGGGTTGTGAGTAAAGAGATACAGTCAGCACTACCCAAGGTATGTGGACTTTCAAGATGAAATCCAAAAAAATGAAGTATAGTAAAAAGTTATGACCCTATTCACTCAGAATTTGTTTTGATCTGAAATGAGCTCGCATTTACCTTGACACTATCTACAAAAAGGGGTCCATTAAAAAAATGTATAAAATAAACAAGAAAGAGGAAATACTTCATCAGCTTATTTACAATCACTTATTGAATCCTTGTAGTAAGACTAGCTCTATAGAGGGTATTATGCTCAGTGAAATAAGCCAAGCAAAGAAACACAAGTACCAAATGATTTCCCTCATTTGTGGAGTATAACAACAAAGCAAAACTGAAGGAACAAAACAGCAGCAGACTCACAGACTCCAAGAAGGGACCAGCAGTTACCAAAGGGAAGGGGTAGGGGATGGTGGGTGGGAAGG